GTCACTAATATGGCAGTATGTAAAAATGTGGATGTGTAACCGAGGTGATTCTGCAATCTGTATTTGGGGTAAAAATGGGAGTTCATAACCCACTTGATTCTAATGTATGAAATATGATATGCCAAGAGCTTTGTAATGTTGTGAACAACCAATAAAAAAAAATTAAAGCTTTAAAAAAAATACATAAATCACATTGTCTGGAAAGACAGAGACAGGACAGACCCTCAGAGAGAGAGAGAGAGAGAGAGACAGAGACAGAGACACAGAGAAAGTGACAGGTGGAGAAACAGAGTGATAGGTGGAGAAACAGATCTATTGATTAATAAACTCAGAAGAGTTATCAAAAAATTCATAATGTGTGGTCCTCATTTGGATGATCATTCACATGAGCTATAAAAGCAACAGGACATTTGTGAAACAATTGAAAACTAGAACATGTTTCTAGGCGTTTGAGATGTTAAATAATTATTGTTAGTATTTTTAGATATGATGATGGCATTGTGGGTTTTTTGAGGACTCCTCCCCTTTTTTTAGAGATAAATGCTTAACCATTTATGAATGAAATGATACTATACCTTGTATTTGCTTCAAAATAACATATGTGAAGAGAATGGAGGATTTATTTATTTATGTGGTGCTGAGGATCGAACCCAGTGCTCCATGCACACAAGGCAAGCACACTACCACTGAGCCACAACCCCAGACCTCAAATATTTTTTAATAAAGAGTTGTGGGGGGTGGTTTGTTTTTGTTTAAGAACAATAGTACCAGCAGGATGTGGTAGTACAGGCCTGTAATCCCAGTAGCTCCAGAGGCTGAAGCAGGAGGATCTCAAGTTCAAGACAAGCCTCAGAAACTTAGTGAGATCCTGCCTCAAAAAAAACAAAAAAAGAAAAGATCCTAAAGATGTAAGTCATTGGTAGAATGCCCAGTACCCACCCACCAAAAAAATCCCTTCTTCCCCTTCTTCTGTTAGTAAAGTAAAATGGTTTGATATGATAGCCTGAGTTTAAGAGAAGAGCTATAACAGCACTACTTGGTATGTGCATGATGCAGAGAATAGACCCCTGGGCCTCATGTGAGCACTGTGCTCCTAAGCTGCCTTCTCAACTTTGCAAAACTTTTTGAAAAGAGAAAGAGTTGTCTTTGGTAGATTACAGAATAGAGAACAATGAATAAAATTGCCCATCACTTTTTCTTAAATGTAATTGCTGTTCTCTTTTAAACAAAGAGAAAGAAAGAGATGGGAGGAATATAAGAAATAAAGGATAGAATTGATGTAAGGAAAGAGGAAAGGCAGAAAGAATGGTAAGAGTCACCATGAGGATGGAGGTGTATAGACTGGATTTGAACAAGCAACTTGAAAACAATCAAGTAAGGCCATGGAGTCTTGGCTGATGGTGAAACCATGGTGTTGAAGATGGAATAACATCTTCAGTCAGATGGCTCTTGGTTCCTTAGCAGTACATGTTTCTAGGCCCAATGACTTGAGTTCTCTGACCTCAGTATCCACATCTACAAAAGGAAGGAAACCATGCCTACCTTGCAGAATTTATGTAGAGATAAGAGACCAGGTATGTGAACAATTGTTCCACAGTGGGCCATGGAGGACTGAATCATCATCTGCCTCTCAGGCTAGTAAGCCCAAGGTTTCTCTAACTAAAGTAAGTCAAGTAATCAATAAAAAGACCAAAGATGCCAGGTTGGCAATGGTTCATGGTTCTATGGTTCATGGTTCCACGGCACATCTAAAACACTGCCATTTATCCACGAGACTGTACCTAATTGCCCATTCACTTACTGCAAGGATACCAAGTAAAAATTTAGCAAAGGTGATGAGCAAGTTCACAATGTCTTTGCACACTAAAATGGATTAGGATGTTGAGGCCAAAAAGTGGCCTATATCACTTCAGATATTTTGGACTAAAATTTTTATATCAAAACACTCACCAGCTGGGCGAAGTTGTGCATGCCTGTAATCCCAGATGTTTGGGAGGCTGAGGCAGGAGGATCACAAATTCAAGGCCAGGCTCAGCAATTTAGCAAGGTTCTAAGCAACTTAGCAAGACCCTGTCTCAAAAAGTAAAAAGTGCTGGGGACATGGCTCAATGGTTAAACACCCCTGGGTTCAGTCCCTGGTACTGAAAAAAATATATATATGTGTATGGATATAAATATATTATGTATACATATATATTTTTATATAATATAAATGTTTATATTACATATATTTAATAATATATTATGTGTATTATATGTTCATATATAATGTAAATATTTATATTCATATATTATATAAATATTTTATATATATTAATAAATATTTTATATATATACTTCTATATAAATGTATATTAAATGTATGTATATATTCATCAGCAAAAGATATTTAGCTAAAAAAACTTTTTCCATAATGAAGTCAGTTGCCTTTCAGCTTGTAAAACATAAACTCCACCCTGAAATGCTTGCCTCCTGCCAGCATTCATTTACTATATTCATTTACTATATAATGTGGGTTTTGAGCTGGGAATAAGGATGAGTGCCACATTCCAGCATATTCAGGACCAAAGGTTATGACATTCTGAAGGATGTCTGGGTGCTTCCTATTATTTGATTCTTCTATAGCCATGCCTCAGTTGATGCTAAGTGACAAATGTAAAAGTGAGAATTTCAGGGGCTAGGGATGTAGTTCAGTGGTAGAGTTGTTGCCTACGCACACAATGTCCTGGTTTACATGCCCAGCATTGGGGTGGGGGAGAGGACTCACTAAGAACACCATATGATGTTTTGTTTTGTTTGGCAATGCTGAGACAGAGCCCAGGAATGCTGAACTACATCCCAAGTCTTTTCATTTTTTTATTTTGAGACAGCGTCTCACTGAGTTGGTGAGGCTGGCCTCAAACATAATCTTCCTGCCCCAGCCTCCCGAGTAGCTAGAATTATAAGAGCTACTGACCCTCTTTCAGAAAAAAAAAAAAAAATTTTTTTAAGGGTTCAGGATATACATCAGAGGCAGAATGTTCCTTGGTTCAATCTATGGTACTACAAATAATAATAGTAATAATAATAATAATAATAATAATAATAAATGTAGACAATTTAAAAATAAATTATATTATTATAATTATTACTGATACAGAAATGAAAAGTAATGCACAGTTTCTGTAGTTTAAAATACAGATAAACCAACAAAAATTAAATTTCCTTTTACTTTTAAAACATTTTTTTAATTAAATTTCCTACTTTTCTACTACCCATGGTTAACTAATGCTAGTGTTTTAATTTATTTTGGAATATATTTAATATATTTGGAATATATTTTTCAATCTTTCCATAGGCCTCATTCATTTTTTCTCATGGGTAAGTTTTTTTTTTCTGAATATTCAGAATGTAGAACCAGAGTTTTAAAATGGTTTTTTATATAACAATATATCATAAAATTTTCCCACTAGCCTCTACTCCATCATTAAAAATACCTATGTATTATCCCATCATATGGACATGTAATTTGTTTAACAATCCCTCATATTTGACACTGCAATGCTATTTATTTATTATATTTAAGAGGCAAAATCTTATTCTGCTCAGACTGGAGTACAGAGCTTATTCACAGATGAGATCCCACTATGGATCAGCATGTGAATTTTGATTACTCCATTTCTCACCTGGGTAAGTTCGACCCTCTTGAGGCAACCTGGTGGTCCCCCACTCGCAGGAGGTCACCATATTTATGCTAAACACTAAAGACACACGATCGTTATAGCACACTAGAGCCCCAAGTCCTATTCTCAAACAATCCTCCTGCCTCAACGTCCCAAGAAGCAGGGATTACAGGTGAGCACTACCACATCTGGCTAAATTCCTATTTTTTTTTTTTTTTAGTAACAAAATCTGATTTCTTAAAACAAAATATATCAGTGACTGTCTGAGAACCTTGTGCTTTAGTAGTTCCAGACCTAAACCTGCTGAGCAAATAGACTAAATGCAACCAAGAAAGCCCAGGTCTCAAGTTCAAAAACCCCTTTGAACTCTGGCAATTCCATTCATGTGCCTCAGAAGACCTGCACCTGTACAGCCACCTCCCCAGCTCTACTGGAATTCCCAAGGTGGATGCCATACAGTGGCTCAGGCAGCTGTGCTTCTCTGGAATCCTGTGGGAGCATTCATCCTGAGGTTCAAGCAATGTCATGTTTGCAAAGTCTGAGTCAGAACCTCGCCACCCACTGAATGAAAAGCACTTTTGCTCCAGCTTTGTTTCAAGATTTGCCACAAAAAGAAAAGGAGTGTGGTGGAGGGAAGAGAAACCACGGAACTTGGGGCATCTTTTCATTTCCAGCTGGGTGGCAGATGCTCCATCCCTTTGGGCTTCTGGGTTTCTCAGCACCAACTCCCATCAGACTTTAGAGCTGTTTTGACTCTCACGCAATCCTAGACATCCAAGGCTGTGCCCCAGGTGGTTTTGTCCTAAAGGAAGTATCTCTTGAACAGAATCAGTAAACCAGGAAGCAACTGAGAAAGGAAGTCACAGGCCTGGTGTGGGTGGAAAGTAGTTCTCAGAATGCTGGCTTCTCCCGGTGTTGATTTTTCTGTATAAACAAGGCAAAGCATACCGGCTGGCAGCAAAGATTCATTTCAAGGAAGAAAAAAAAAAAGTGTACCTATGCTTGAGTGTATATACATTATATATGTATGTGTATGTATATAGGCCTATTGATATATTAACATTTTGCAAACAAGAGGCCTGAAACAATAGGTAATGCTTTATGGTAGAGGAAGAGAGTGAAAGAGATCTATGAACATAGATAGAGAGGGCAGCTGAGGCTCAGTGGTAGAGTGCTTGCCCAGCACATGGAAAGCCTGGGTTCAATATCCTAGCACTGAGGAAAAAACAAAACAAAACATGAGAGGGCACAGGACACTTGTTAAAAAGGACAAAAAAGACTTGGAGAACTCTCTGCTAAACTGAGATTATCTCACTTCTTTTGAGTGTTTGCAATAGATGTGTGTGGTTTTTTTTCCCCCTCCAGGCAAATTAATTACCAGAAAAATATCCTGCCTCCTAGCTCCATGTCTACTGCCGGATGGTACCTGTCAAAAAGATAAGATCTTTCAATGAATTAAAGAAGGTGAAAGGCCAATCCCTCCTAGTCATCTCCCTGCGATTTACATCAGTATAATTATATCTTCTATTGCTGGGGGAAATTGACTATACCTACAGGGAAATGCTACTGATATATAGAAAGTTTCTTTTCTTCTTTTTTTTTTGAGATAATTTTTTTATTGGTGAATATTATTTATACCGAATGGTGGGTTTCATGATGGCATATTCATATATACATAAAAACATAATTTGATCAATTTGGAAGCCTCTTTTTAAATTACTGCAGAATACAGGGTTGCAACTCTATTTCTGGACTCATCACATGTATGTGCTTGGGGAGGCCAGAGGGAGTTTATAAACATGGAGATATTTTTTTTTCTTCCTGAACAAAAACCTCAAGATTGAATTGGATTCATGCTAAAGAGAAAAGGAAACCAGAGGCTTAATATTAATTCTGATGAGTCCTTAATTGTAATGTGCATGTGTGTGCTTGCACATGCCGAGAGGGGTGTGTGTCTTTAAGCCCACAAATCCTTCTGTATGTTTTATTTCCTTGCACAAGATGGCTTACCAAACAGATGGTGCCCTTGCAGTTGTTCTTTTTTCTTCTTCTTCTTCTTTTTGCAGTTCTTCTTTAAATCACATTTAATTTGAGCTTTCAATGAGCATTACTATCCTTCTGAGGTTTCACTTCTTTGATCATGTTCATATTTACATTTTGGGTACCCTAGTATACTAATTGTATATGTTTATTATATACGTATATGTACTTACACACAAATATGTGGTTATGTACCACACAAACTCATGTATATATACATATCATGACATAATCTTATTTAGCCAAGGGCATGTCTATGTTCTTCACTTTTCATCAAAGGATGAGCCAAACTTTAATTATTACCTTTTCTTCCCTGTTTAAACATTAGTCTCATGTGATGTATTAATTTGAAAATAGGCTCATGCTGCTTACTGCCTGGGATAAATTGGGTACTAAAAAAAAAAATTGTAAATGCAATTAATACGAACTCAGGTGCCCCTCTTCTCTCACAAATGGTCTAATTTTATCACTTGGGAATGAGACTTAGAATGTGATTTCATAGCCCATTTAATTCAGTTAGTGTCAGGGCTGATCTGATGTGATTTGTAACTACCTATTCTAATTTAAATTGCCAATTTAAACATTGATATATCTTATTATTCAGATTTTCTCCACAGTGTTTTGAGGACTCTTCATGGACTTTTAAAAATATTCAGAAAATCTGAGCCTCAAACTTGGGAACTTCCTCAATAGCATGTTCCAAATCTATCTTGGTAATAAATGTATCATTATGATATTCTGACTTTTGCTCTCCCATTTTTTACCACCAAATATCAGTTGATGTGTGTGTTCTTTAGATTGGAGATTACAAACTGTATAAGAGTAATGGAAAAGCATATCAACCTGGAAACTATGGGCTCAGGGTGATGAAACTTTAGAAACCTTTAGAAGTGGCCAGGCATGATGGTACATGCCTGTAATCCCAATGACTTGGGAGACTGAGCCAAGAGAATTCAAGCTCAAGGCCAATATCAGCAATTTAGCAAGATCCTAATCAATTTAGCAAGACCCTGTCTCAAAATAAAAATTAAAAGGGCTGGGGATAGGGCTCCGTGGTTAAGCACCCCTGAGTTAAATCCCAACTATTACCTTATTTATAGGAGAGGAAACTGCTGCCCTAAAATGTTACATAATACCCCAATTTCAAAGGTTATGATAATTTGATCATAACTCAAATCTCCTGAATGTCAGACCAGATTCCCAATACATTTCTTCTGAAATATTTTACAAATAGAGCTCCCTCAGGAAGATTACCTAGGATACCCAACGTTCTCACAGAGAATCCAATGTCTCTTTAGGGATATATATGATGGCAGACTAGCATCTGGCAATGTTTCTCCATCCCCCAAGTTCATGGTACACTATATTGATATTCCTCCCACTAAGAGATGGAGTTCATGTTGCATCCCTTAAATCTGGACTCCCGTCTCCTACAGAAGTGATGCTACTTGACTTCTGACACTAATCTTAAATGGTGACTCAGCTTCCCACTTGTTGTATATTTGTTTGATTTTTTGTTTGTTTGGGGGGGGGTTGTTTGTTCCTTTTGATTTTTGTGGTACTAGAGATTAAACCTAGGAGCACTCTATCACTGAACTATATCCCCAGCTCTTTTTATTTTTTCTTTTGAGTCAGGGTCGCAGTAAGTTGCTTAGAGCCTTTCTAAGTTGCTGAGGCTGACTTTGAACTCATGATACTCCTGCCTCAGCCTCCCGAGGTGCTGGAATTTCAGGTGTATGCCACGGTGCCCAGCTGCACATCTTTTTCACTGTATATTGTCCCCCCAGCAGGTATTCTCTAATATGGACTTCTGCCTCAGATTTATATTTAAAATCAGAAATTTCCCTGAGTACCTTGACAGCAGAGGTGTCTCAATTAACTATTTTACTGCTTACTGAAGGAACAAGAAAGGCACACCAACAATGTTGGTTCTCCAGAAATCTTTATCTTGGGAGATTTTTCCTCAACCAATACTTCCACCTACTTTTAAGATAATTTTGGATCTTGAATTAATCACAGTTATATTAACTGTTTATATTTTATATTCTGCAAGTCTCCCAAGGAGACCTGCTGAGATTTCACACAACTCATTCCTTCATGTGTATGTGTGGGGCTAGAGATCAAGCCCTAGTCCTCCCATGCTCAACATGATCTCCACCCCTGAGCTACACCCCCGACCTCAAATCATTCTTTTTTTTAAGTGTTGAATAAAATAGAATCAGAAATAGAACCACTGGTACAATATTCTTTTATTTCAGTAACAACATTTCTAACAATACCATTCTTCACCTCAACTTCACTCTATGTCAATCAAAATCATATTGGGGTAGACGTTTGCAATTCTGAAATCCTTCTTGATTTACTTTACTCACTCATTCATTTTTTTTCTTTTATTCATAAACATTTATGAAACACATGTGCCAGGCAGTGCACTAAGCACTAGAAACATAGAAATAAATAGAGCAGATTATCTGGTATCAAGAAATTTGTCACCTATTAGTGCAGAGAAGACATGTCAACAAATAATTGCAGTACACAAATTTTAATATTTTAAGTAAAAATAATAAGTTCTATTATCATAGATCAATCTATAATAGAATTATTATCATAGAATTATGATACTAGTCTTATACTAGAGTTATCCTAATAGAATTATTATTATAGATTATTCTATTATCATAGAATTATCATTCTAACTATCATAAAAATTAGTCTACCTTTAAAACACCATACAGAATATATGAAGCCATGGGCTCTTTCTCCAGCACTGCAAAAGCAACAAAAAAGGCAATACATGCACACACACACACACACACACACACACACACACACACAAAAGACAAGCAAAATGGGGACTCTTTGTAACACCAGATAAACATCTAGAATGAATAACGAACTATAAACCAATCACTCAAGAAAAAGAAAAGTGACTCAATTTAAAAGTTAAACATGGGACTGGCAGTGTAGTTTAGTAGTGAGCACCTGCCAATCATGCCCTAAGATCCTGGATTGATTCCCAGCATCTCAAAATAAAAAGTAAAAAATAAAATTTAAGTTAAATACATGAACAGACACTTGATGAAAGAGAAAATATAAGAGGTTGACCAATTCTAAGCCTAAAAAACACTGCTGGAGGTATCACAATATCTGACTTCAAATTATACCACACAGCTATAGTAACAAAACCTGCATGGTACTCGTGTAAAAGCAGACATGTAGACCAAGGGTACAGAATAGAAGACAGACAAATTCGCATATCTACAGTCATCTGATCCTTGACAAATATGCCAAAACATACATTGGAGAAAAGGCAGCCTCATTAACAAATGGTCCTGGGGAAACTGGTTCTACATATGCAGAAGAACAAAATTAGACCCTTATTTCTCACCCTGCAAAAAAATCAACTCAAAATAGATCAAACACCTAGGTATTAGACCAGAGACGAGGCAACTTCATCAACACTCATTCTAGCATACAGGTACAAGAAATAGCTTTCTCAATAAAGCTTAGGAAATAATTCCAGGAGTTAATAAATGGGACAGCATCAAATTATAAAGCAAAAGAAACAATTAGGAATGTGAAGAAAGAACTACAGAACAGGAGACAATCTTTGCTAGCTACTCTTCTGACAAAAAATTAATATCTAGAATGTATAAAGAACTCAAAAAATTAACACCAAAAAAAATCAATTAATAAATGGGCAAATAAATGAAATAGACACTTCTCAAAAGAAGAAATACAAATATAGAAAAAAAATGTGCAGCATGATTAGCAATTAGGGAAATGTAAATTAAAACTACACTGATATTTAACTTCATGCCAGTCAAAATGAGAGTCATCAAAACCCAAACAACAATCATAAATGCCAGTTAGGATGTCGAGAAAAAGAAATACTTTTTCATTGTTGGTGGGACTGTAAATTTATACAACCACTGTGGACATCAGTCTGGAGATTCCTCAAAAGACTAGACATTGAACCACCACATGACTCAGCTATGCCACACTCAGTATTTATACTACAGAATTAAAGTCATCACAATACAGTGATACAGGCATACCCCCGTTTATAGCAGCACAATTTACAACAGCCGAATTTTGGTGTCCATTATAACCTAGATGCCCATCAATGGATGAATGGATCAAGAAAATATCAT